GCAAACATCCAACTAAAATTATGTAACTCCTGCAATGTCAGCAATAAAAGAAAGGTTATCTAGCTAAGAACTGGTACCTCATATTAAGGTCGCACAAACCCAGCAATTAACGTACGACTGTTCTATAAAAAACAGATACAATACTTACTAACTCATGAAAAGGAACAAGTAATACTTCATTTTAGCTAGTCAATTCTAGAATACTGGCTAGAAGTGCTAGAAAGCAGCCAGAAAACTAGTGACTGTGCCAAATAAGTTGTATTTCAGGGTATGTGGAAACTGAAGGCCCATAGGCAAAAAGATTCAATTTTTAAAGTTTGATCTATTTTTAAAACAAGTTATGTATGGGTGAGCCTTTAATGACTTCATAAAAACAGACCATCCAGTGCGTACTGCTCACAGAAAGAATGCATTTGCTGAAATTTAGAAATAAAAATATTACTGTTAGAGTCTATGTTTTTGTGCATAGGAGACAAAAATTTTGAACTCTTGCTCAGGACCAGCTGTGGGTGGGTTATAACATTTTCAGAATCTACAACATATTTATAAAAGCTTGTGGAGAACTCTTTTCTTTTTGATTAGAGCTCCAATTAAATTAAATTAAATTAAAAGGGCTCTACCTAGAGCGCCAAGCAGTCGGTCCTTTATGCGCTTTGTTTACTGGCGGAGAACCTGTTACTACTGAATTTTAAAGGTCTTCCCGCTGAGCATTCTCACACCCGGGTCTGACCCACCTTGTCATCACTCCAGCACTGCCTATCCCGCAGCTCTTCTCATCATGGGGCAGCACTCTCTGCTGCCTGACGCTGGCACTTAGAGGCTGCGAGAGGAAATATCCTGCAGTTAAGGTCCCTTTTTGTTATCTGTGTATTCTTCTTCCTTGTGAATCAAAGTCAGCTAGGGAAATGAACACCAAAAGGCACTGAGTCTGTACTTTATTAAAGATTGCCTTTACCAGAAACCTAAATATCTTGTAATATTAATACTGGGAAACTTTCAAACACTTTATATAGGCCAGGAATTCAATGCATCTGCTGTCTCTGACTGAAATCAATACTGTATCCTCTGATACATAGACAAGAAATGGGCTACTAAATCTGTTATACTCCGTGCCAAAGACTGACACTTTTACTTGTGCTGAAATACCCCTCTGTAACCCAAGAGTGCTGTGGTGATGGGGCAATGTACTGACTGAGATTTTCCCAAAGATGAGCTGTTTTTCTGTGATATATTTTAAAATCAGAGGGAATATTTTGGTAGAATCAATAAAACTCTGAACAATCTGTTCACTTTGCTATTCTGCTGGGGAACGTTTACTGCTACAGATGAGTAGTGTCACTTGCATTTTCATATCCAGTCCTGTTTTCTGTGTTTGAATTGATCCAAGCTTGCATTTAACAGCTAAAACATAATACTCAGTAACTTTAAAAAGCTTATTTTATTTTCAGAACAGCAACTCTTTTCTAAATGTGTTTGCAACCAAAATACCACAGGGCAGTTGTTTTATGCACAGGAAAAATTTATTTATTATAATGGTGAATATTATAGACCAATAGCATTAATATTTATGAAGGGCTAGACTAAACCTTCTGCCCTGTTTATACGATAGCACATAGTTTCATCACCTCAGTAGAAATAGGCTGTGTTAGTTCCTGACCAGATGTGGATATTCATTCTACCCCTCCTGCTGGCTCTGTATGAGTAAGTCAGAAACAGAGTTCTCTATTCCCTACAGATATTTTAAGGATAAATTGGGTGACCATGAAGTAGGTCCACAAAGGGATATAGGTAAGACTATGCTTATAGGCACTTCACCTTCATTTTTGAAACGTGGATCCTGAAATTAAAGCTGACTGAGGTGCTAGTAGTCTCAGCCCTGAGTCATCTCCTGGCCTCCTCATTTTCCCTGACTGTGTTGCTTGATTTTAACGTCTACCTTAAAGAATTCATTTGAACAATTACCATTGCCAGAAGCGTCAAGAATCACAGAATCACAGAACGGTTGAGGTTGGAAGAACTGAGACTTCTTTAAAAAGAACTTCTGACAAATGTCTGATGCCACAGTACTCCATTTGCAATTTCATAACTGACCCAAGCTGAGGCAATAGAGGACAGAGCTACGCATGGCTGGTGCTCTCCTCAAGAGACCGAGCATTTATAGATTTTGGCCAAAGGGATTCTGCAATTGCAGCTTTTACTGTACTTTCCACTGTAAAAAAAATTTAGCTGGTTATGCCACTCTCAAGTTTGTGATTGACAAAAGCAGCAATGTTTTCAGATTATATTTAGGCTTTGCTCTAAAACCAAAAATAGTTTCATTATTTTTTTAAGTGCTCCAGCTGAAAATCCATATTTGATGTAGTTGAAATTTACTGTGGATTGGAAAAATGTATAAAACTGAGAAAACATTTAATTCTGAGGATTAACAACTGCTAATAATCATATACTGCATAATCAGTAACGCGTGAACTTCCAAGGGTTTAAGCAGCTTGGTCCATTTAAGGATGTAAATGTTTAGTTGCGTTTTTTTTTTTAGTTGCTTGCATTTGAAAGTATCCAAGTATCTGGAATCTACAGAATAGGAAGCCTTGTAAAAACAGGGTTTTTATTTATATCTACAATTTCTGAACCAGAAAAATTGAAATAACAGCCTTACTACATTCCTGTGTTTCTAATTCCAGTCCTAGATGAAACCAAATAATCTTAAGAAAGAAAGAGGGAGCTCTAAGACATTACTATAAACTCCCAGAATGAGAAAAGAAGTTCGACTGGAGATTTTGAGTGCATTCTTAATCCAACTTTAATTTTAGTAAAATGCAATCCAGTCTCCTTACCTACTGTGCTCTTAGTACTGTCAGTACTAAAATATAACAACCCTTTTTTTCTGTTTTGTAATATTCTCTCCTATACTTCAGTCTGTTTGTAATAAGATAAACTAAAAAAGGTTCATTTCGGTTAGTATTTCAAAATAAACACCAGCATTTAAATATGTTACATTCTTCTGTGAAGGCCTGTACATCTTTCTTACGGCTTTGTCTTCTATTAGTTTTATGCAGTGTCATGTGTCTGCTAAGCTGCCAGCAGCCGTGATCAAACAAAGGCTACCTAGACTGCAAAACATGAGACCTGAATGCCCGAGTCAAGACCCAAATGCATTTGCCAAAAATGATGCTAATTACCACTAGAACCAGGTGTGACTTCAGTCAGTGGACCTGGTTTAAATACTCATCTCCTAAACACATGCTTAATATTTCCATTAAAAATCATACCCGCATGTCCTCCTGAGATGCAAAAAAATTAAAAGCTGAAACTGAAAACAAGGCAACTGTATTTCCATTTACAGTCTAGTTTGTGCTCATGTGCACGGAAACATTAGCAACCACATGAGAAAACTGACTCTAAACAGAACCAAGTTCTACTTACTGTTTGTGATATTAAATATAATATATTTGACAAAAATAAAATTTGAAGTTTAGGGGGAAGGAGGGAGAGAGAGAGATTTGTATGCATATGTACAGGTTACAAAACTTAGGTCAAAACTGCTTTTATTTTGAACCATCAACACTGAGATGAAAGACCGATTTTGCATTGAAAAAATGTGAACACAGCTTTGACTTTTATATCTGATTCTACAGGAAATTACTTATGATGATGGGACACACTTGTCATGGCTCTACTCCCCTAGTATAAAATGAGGGTCATTATATTTCTATGCCCTGAATATTTTTTTAATAACTTTCAGTTAGCTTATAAACTTGTATGGCACATATTTTTAATGATGCACAAAAGCCTATAATGCTGGATGGCTGCTTGACAAATTGTTTAAAATTAGTTGCAACCAGTAGTCCTTCTTATACTCAGTTTGCACTCTTGGACATAACTTAAAAGATGTGGCAAAACCTGAACTGCATCGGAAGAAGAAATATCAAATAATACCAACTGTAAATTCTATAAAGAAAATATTTATTAAACATTGGACACAGTTTGGAATTATTTATGAACCTCAACAGTTAAAATAATAGCAGCATCTTGACCAGACAGCTACTTAGCTTTGACAGTGCTAATTAGCACTGTAGCTTTTCTCTCTGAAGCTTTTTTCAAGTATTCCTCTCAATCAGCAAAAGAAAAGAAAGAAGCTCAACAAGGATAACCGAAGAAAACGTCACCAGCAAATAACAGATACAAATCAGAATGCCACAAATCAGAATGCCAGTCGGTATTCGGACGTTTGTGCAAACATTTTGAGGTAACTGTGAAGCTTTATTTGACATACGTTAGCAAATTATCAATTAAAATAAATGACAAACCAACAGAAATTCTACTGTGAGATACACAGAAGTAATAGTCGGAGTGTTCTCTAGTCTTTGTAGCAACAATACATCCATTCCGCAATGTCTGCTTATATTTCTCACTAAGCTCACTAATGCCACATAACGATATCAAAGTACTTAGAATATTCACAGAAGAGAAGAGAGTACAAGAACAGCCTCATAATATTGTGCAGGTACTTTGCCAAAGTAAAAACCCTTATCTCCAGTAAAATACTCCAGCAAAGGAAAATTTCCTTCCATACTAATAGACAGACAACAAAGTTCCCACTAAATCATCAACTCCTGCTGACTCGAACACTCCCACTGGCATCAGTGTTTGTTAATCAAGACATCAAACAAATCATAATAGATTTTAACACCAAGTAGGAAGTTAGTGTCTAGAGGGTAATCGACATATAAGGGATTGCTGCAATTTTACTGGGTGCTTCGTAGGATAATTTCAAACATCTTTGCTAGTATCAAGTAGAAAGTTGGACTACTTTTCAGAAAGCCAACAAATTCTACTGGGGAAATAATACGTAATATTTACACAGACGTTTGTCAGGTCTATAATCCTATACCCTGAAAACCTCACATAGTTAAAGCCAATCTTTTGCCAGTTAGATAAGTTATGCTGTAGTTCAGGAAACAAATACAAGAAGATGTGAAAACAAGTAAATATTTACTCACCAGCCTTCTCCTTTTCTGAAATAACTGGCATAGCCTGAAAAAAAAAGTGATGCCACTATTAGAAAATAAGCGTATTAGAAAACATTATAATGTATCAATGTAGGTTGTATGTTTATGCTTCCAGAAGGTCTGAGAAGAACTGAGGTCTCCTTGCGTTAGGCACTCTGGAAAGAATCATGCAGTTTCTATCTGAATGGCTTATATTACCGTCAGAAAAAAAGGATTAGGAGAGAAGGGAGAAGATGGAGTTAATGAGATATTGTAACGGTTGCATTTTGACACAATCGTCCTAGGATACATGCCCTTGAAATTCCAGTGGGAAACTTCTGAAGAATTCTGAAGGAGAGAGTATTGAAAACCATGTGGCTGAAAATGAGGTTAAAATGCCAAATCTTTTCCTGCAGAAGTCAGTAAACGTCCTGCCACTGACTCCATAGAACTAGGACTTAGGCTCAAACCTACTTCTGTAGTATGCTGATTTCTTACTCTGTACATAGCGTTTGAGAGGCAAGTAACAGAAATAGTTTTCATGTTGGCTGTAACTGCTTTTGAAATAAAAGCATTGGATGTACAAATCTTTTATATCATGCCTTTCTCTCAGATTAACTCAGAAGAACTTTCTGAGTGTATTTTTCCTAGAATAAATAGGTTACAGACTGTATGTAAGTTATAATTTATATGGTACATATAACTACAGAATTAAAGAATATGCAGATGCGATAAAGGGAGGAAAGGCCAGATGAGAAATCAGATTGGACGTGCAATGTATGCACAACTACCATGTGAGTTAACGTATCATTTCTACATCCCTTTTGCTCATGTCAGTACAGTCTCCATTCAGCAAAATTTCCTGCAGCACACTCCAAAGAAAAAACAGGAGGGGAGCGATGAACAGAAATGACAAAATAGTCGGTTTCAGACTTTTTATAGAGTTCCTGAAAAAGACTTTGAAAATGTCATTTCAGAATTTGATTTGTGCTGCTCTTTATTATAACATTTCCTGGATGATATGCTGCACACAATTTCAAACAGAAAAAGTCCTTAGACAACACATATTAATACATACCTCACAGATTGGCAACAGCCACGTAATTACTTTTCTGATTCATTCTGTTTCATCTGCACTCTGCCTAGTAAAATATCTGTTGCTTGAATTGGACATTAAAAAATGGCATAGCATCAAACTACTACTATTTAAAACAACAGCAGCCATTTGTCTGAAAAGCAGCTCCTTCGTTTTGTGCAAACATGTATTTATTTGGAAGAAGCGCTTTGCTCCAGTGACACAATGAAGGCATTATCTTTCATAGACTGAAGAAACTTGACATGCCAAAGAAATAATAAAATCATCGAATGAGTCAAGCTATTCATCACAAAAAAAAGTATTATGTATAGATATCTTTAAAATAATTGATGGCATTTTGAAAAGCAACATGTAATTTTCTTCTTCTTCCCAAATTGATCTTCCTAAGAGAAAAATAAGAAAATGAGAAAAAAAAACCCTCTTCAAAACATGTTGTAAAAACCTTTTAAAGTCGTTTACTCTTAAAAATCCAATGTGAGAATACACATTTTATACACACACACACACACACACACACACACACACACACAATTGTCATTTGTTGTTCCTAGTTATTTCCTGAAATACTCCATCTTACTATCTGATGACCACTAAAACTTATTGATTTACAACCTAACACAAATTTTAGTAAACGTGTTAGATTTGTATAAACACTTGTTAAAACAACAGTCAGCAATGATAGATCTAAGATATGACAGAAGCTTGGACGATACCGTGGGACATACAGCTGAGCTACAGTTCTCTGGTAGCATGACTGCTAATAGACCTAAAGATCTTTAGAAAAGTGGGTTTAGCCTAGGTAAAAAGCCCACCGTGGCTGAAAATACACAGAATACCTATGGTTCTACGCCTCAGGACAGATGGGTAAATCACAAAATTTGTACCTGTGTTAACTAGGAGGAAACAGCACTGTAAATTCTAGGTAATTTAAAGGTAGAGTGAGGTTTGCAGATGAAGCACGTATGTTCACTACAGTAATCTTGTAGCAATTCATTAGGACTGATGCTAGTGAGACTAATGTAGATTACATAACGTATACAAAATATGAACTGTAAAATCAAGTCATGTGCAAGGATAAAGAAAATCAACATACAGATAAAGAACTACATTCAAATGATAGCATCACAAAGCATATAAGACTTTTCCCAGCACAGTAAGGCAAAGGCCCTCCTACAATAGTGATTAGCTACCCTGTTTCACCTGCTTCAGGTCTCCTCGTAATCCATTGTGGACATACAAAGATTTTTTTTTTTGCTTTATTTTTCTTCTTCCTATCAGAATTAGCCCTCTTTTTTCAGTAAAATGTGCTTCCATTTCCTTAATGTGCTTCTAAAATTAGAAGATCACATTTTCTCTGATTCGTTCTTATTCACTGACTAGAAAAGAAGAAAGCATAGTATTTTCCAGGAATCAAATATTTTCTCAAATTCATGTGAATAAAAGTAAAAAAAAAAATCTCTAAAAAACATTTATAGCAACATCAAAAGGAATGGAAGTAAAACTTTTTCTACAGAACAGAAAGCATATTTTTTCAAAGAATATCAACACTTTCTGTTGTAAAGACTACAAATAATATGAATGTTTGACTCAGAACATGACATTGGCATACTCAGAAATTCTGAATCCATTAAAACAGATATGAAAGATGAAAGATGCTTTCCCTAAAATTCTGTATATAAATAAATCTTACTCTTTAATTCTTCACAATTTAAGGAGGATATGTACATATATCATATTTTTTATTCAATGGTTTAGAGTGCTTAGTTTTTATAAAAATTGCAAACCGGCTTATTTGCCTAAGGTATATAGTAAATGTAAAAGCATTGATTTAAACAAAAATTAAATAAATGCTTATCCACAAAGGATAAAGATACATCTTGGAAAATAGTTTCAAATATGTATGTTTTCCAGCCACAGTGCAATTCTATTGAGTCATGATGCCTTTTTTTTTTAATTCTTGGTAAAGAAGCAAAATAAGTCAAAAATTCTGTCAGCATGCTCTATTGTCACTTTAGAGCTGAGAACAAAATCCTAAAAGAACATAGTGTTTCCTGAAAATTTTAAATAAAGCAAACAGCGAGCAAACCTGGTTCAACCACATCTCAGACAATTCTACCATTGGTTTAGCTTTTTGGTAACACAGCTATATACACTGCTTACATGCTCCCCAGCGGGAAAACATGACTTACTGTTACTTATGAGAAATGCTCTCATCTTCAGTACAGTTTTGAATTCACTGGTGACCTTCTTCAATGAGTTCCATATGTTCCAAATCAATTGCATTCCCAGGAAGTGATTTAACATTTCTGGCAATGGAGCAATTAAATTGGATTTTCCTGCTTGGCCAGATGGGTTCACTGTAACTTCATATCATTTCTAACTCCTCACAGAACTAAACAACTCAACTAGCAATTTCCACATGATTGGGTCGCACCTTTTAAAAAATCAGACAAACTTCCTTTTTACACCCTTCACAGATTTAAACAAACACCCCTCAGAATCATACTACTCTCTATTATATTTTTAATAGCATGTGCTCTTAGTACCACCCAGGAAAAAAACAGGCAGGAAATCACTCTAGACAGGTAACCAGGTATGGCTTGCTGACCCAAGATTTTGTTTTACACTACAGATTGTGGTTTTAACCTAAGAAAAGCTGATGTGAAATGTCATCTTTAAAATTTTTTTGTGTGTCCTTCCTGCATTGTGACTGATTTCCTCTAAATATATGACACCTGCAAATATAACTGTAAAGTGCATGTAAAATACAATTTTGAAGGGACAACATTTTTCTTTAAAGTTGCAGTTCCCTTGCACAGATATAAATGATTATATGAAATACTGGATTAAATAACCATTTCTTTTGACTTTTATTATAAGTAAGGTGAAAATTTGTTTTGTGTCTAGAAACAAAAAGATAGAAAATTCTGGTGAATCAAAACAAAGAAAATTCTTGATCAAATGAAAAGTCTTGTTTGACCAAAACTAAGTATCTAGCTTTTTCTGAGCTTTTAAGAGTATTTTAAAATGAAAGAGCAGTAAATGTGTAAAAATACCATGATTTCAAGCTGCAACAAAGAAAGATTTGTTCTGGGTGTACTGACACAAAGACTTTTTTTGTCTGTTTGTTTATTAGTTGGGGTAGGAACATCACGGATAGCAGATGTTTGAACAAATAATTCTGGACAGTAATGTGAAGTGGACTGAACTTTGCCTACAGCTCTTCACTAAGGAAAGAGAAAAGAGAAAGACCCCCCCTCCTTCCCAAATTAGCCTACCTCCACAGCAGTGAGAATTCTGGTAATTTTGCCTCTGAGTTTGGCAAAACGATCAGTACAGCAGCTTTCCAGAATAAAGACAGTATGGTAGGTAGATATATGCAGCATCTTGGCAGTGAAAGGCGGAGGCATTATGTGCATAAATGGTTGAGTGTCTTTGGGGGCACCAGTGAAGACATGCTGCAAAACTTCCACTGCAAAGAGCAGAGGAACATCCTGGCTGGCCCGAACATGGCTTGACTTTCCCTAAATTGTAGTGTAAAGCTGTATGTTTATACTTAACCTAAACCTGCAGACAAAGTCATTATGAATTAAATTAAAGGAGCTATCTTTTTGCTTTCCTGGACTTGCAAAACATGAACAACTGCATCATGACTGACTCTTGTGCAAAGAGCTAAAGTAGACAGCAAAACTTTGATTAAACTGGAAAAGCTACTGTTAAGGTGCATGTAACATAAAATTTCTGAAGTGAGGTTCTAATGACATCTTTTATTTTTGCAGTCTCTGATAAACCAACTGCAGTGAGTCTATATTTCTGTTTTCCCAACAAGATATAGCTTCTTGTCTGATTTTTGTACAATAGAGGCTGAGTATCAACGTCTTTATTTAAAGCTGTTTAAATCAATGCTTTTTCTTCAGAATAATACTGCTAGGTTTTTTTGGATTACAGAA